CATTTATTGGCCTGCCAGCAGAGCCTGGGATCAATCACCTCCTTTTCTCTCATTCCTTTTTTTTTTTTCCCTCCTGCTTGCTCAAAGTCCGTGTTCATAAAATATTTAGGGGAAGCTCTTCAGAGGATGATATTGCCTATCCTATAGTCCCACTGCAGGTTTACTGTGCTACTGAGACAGATATTCTGCCACCAGAGAAATCAAAATTGGTCATGAGGTTGAGTTACTGCACCAGGAGCACCATCAGACTGACAGTCTGGGCCTGATCCCACCTGGGACACTGGGCTGAGTGGAAGGAACAAAGAAACACGCGGAACAGAGCTGGTCACTTTTGCAAGGTTAGACAGAGGAATATTACTTTTCAGGATGGAAAACAAAAACATGAATGTTCTGCTTGTGTCTGAGACTCACCTGACCCTTTCTTACCTCTTGCAATTTTCTTCCCAGCGGGGAAAAAAGCCCCCCCAGATTAATGAAATGTGGAATTCAGACGTGCTGCTAAATGAAGCCGTCAGTCTGGCAGTGTCTCGTGTAGTGCCACCCACTCCTGCAGCAGCCTGCCATAAATTAAATCAGCTGCCACGGTCCTTCCTACCCCTGAACTTTGCCACAGCCTCATGCTCATCTCCTGCATTCACAGCCTTCCCTGTAATTCACACATTCTGTGCTCCCACCATCACACGATTTTCCCCTCCTAATTTCATTAAATCAGCTGCAGATTTCCTAGGCTACTCCAATGTTTTCCTGCAGCAAATATCTGCTTTTAACCTTCTCATCCAAACCTGGCTGTCTGAATGCACTTCTGAACCTCTCATGACCCTAAATCCCTATAATTTCCCCCCTTAGTTCAAGGGATGGGTGTTCCTTTGTTCCAGCCTTGGCATTTCTCACCCTCAGCCATCCAGGCTTACATCAGGCTGTTGCTAAACTGTCTTCCTTTAATAATCTTTATGAAGTGCAGTCCAATTAACTTTATCTTCCTTGGGGATCCATTCAATTAAATGCAGTCATAATGAGTGAGTGGACACAGAGCATTGTCACCATATTTACATCCAGATTAATAGGAACCAGGTAAGGTAACTTTAAAGCCATCGATATTTTAGTATTTGGGCTTTTGATTGTGCTATCTTCAGTGTCAGGCACATTTAGGAGAGACCAGCATAATTTGAGAGGCTGAGTTTTTAATTTCCTCCATGGTTTGTGGAAATGGGGGTTTAGAAACAGCAGCAAAAATACTGACTTGGTCTTTAAATAGGTTTCTCACTGGTCAAACAAAACACTTGCCCTGACACAAAATAAGCTAAAACTTCATCCAGTTCATTCCTTCATGGATTGAAGGTAATTTAGGAAACCAGCAAAGAACCAATATTTAAGTGGAGATGCTGGGAACATCAGGAAATCTCATTCAATGAGCATGCAACAGAAATGCTGAGCTAGGAACACCAGTTCTGATGTGACTTTTCTCCCTTTTGAAAGACAAATGCTGGATCTGGAACATGGACCTGTCTCTCAGATATGGAACAGCTCCAGAAGTTATTTTTATGCCTGCTTTGCATTGCAGAAACAAGAGAAAAGGGTCCAATGGAGACTGAAAACCTCATTCTGTATCACCACAGCTTAACTTAATCATGTCTCAGGCACTGATAAATGTGTCAATAAGCATTTGGAGAAATAACTGGTATCCAGGGAATTTATCTTGGTTATAGGAGTTTCAGCTGAATAGGTCAGATTTGTTAACATTTTAATTTACACAAATCTGCATTCCAAATATTGCTCTTCGTCTCCTTTTCCTAACGACAAGGAAATGTCAGCAGCAACCCCAAATTCACTCCTTTAATAGCTTCCTCAAGTTTTCAGGAAAAACAAACAAAAATAAAAAACCAGTCTGTGGCACAGTAATGGAGGTGTTTAAACACAATTTTCAACTTAGATGCAATATCACTTTATGTTAATAAACCAGGAAGTTTTGCCAATTCCAGATGCAATCCTGAAAGCAGGAGAGAGAGCTGGGAATAAGCATGCCCTGTACCTTCAGGGCAGCCCCAGGATTATGCCCAGAGCTGGTTGTTCTGCCTTGATTCAAGTGTCCCCTGCCCACCCCTGTACTCAGCCTGGGACAGTCAGCACCAGATTTCCACACACAATGTGCCAGCTGTGATTTCCTGGACCCTGTGCACAAGGGAACTTACACGAAGCACATGGTTCCCCTGCAAGTTCTTAAAATACTTCAGATGCAATGAGAGAAGCAATAAAAGAGATTCTGACTTATCCTTTCCCCCTAATTATCACCTGCCTCTTTTCTGAGCTGATTTGCTGAGATTAAAACCTCTTTCCCACCAAGTTATCCCAATCTGTGTTTCTGAAATTAATATAAACTGACGACCTTTCTCTGCCCGTAACGCCCAGCATTCAAATGCTGGCCCCCACTGATGTCAGGGGGGCAGTAACAGTTCTTTCATTTCCATAAAATCAGCATTTTCCTGCCAGAATTTCAATTTCTTCTCTGAGTACTCTGCTACCATCCCCCTGGGGGCTGCCAGCAATCTCTCCAGCACTTGTTTCTCCTCTTCCACTGCAAGCCTGCCGCAGGCTCCGGCACGGCCTGGGATCATCTACCTGCTTAAGATTCAGCAAACTTCCCAGCTCTTGGAATAAAAGGAGCAGGGAAAGGTCAAATCCACCCTAGGTTGTGCTTGCAGAGTCTGCCACATCAGGTGGGAAGGAGCAGGTGCTGGAGCTCCTCCTGCTCGCCCAGCTCTGCTTCCTTATTTCACACCCGGAAAGTTCTCTGCTCTCCTGACCTTCTCCTTGGAAAGCTGTTCCACACAGCATGTCCCCCCTGGACCAGCTCACCCTGAAATGGTGCTGAGGGTGAGCCCTGGCTGTTCCCAGCCAGCATTCCCATCCCATCCCATCCCATCCCATCCCATCCCATCCCATCCCATCCCATCCCATCCCATCCCATCCCATCCCAGTGTCTCGGGATGCCCCTGGGCTGCTGAGCTGCTGCTGAGGCTTTTATCTGCTCTCTGCAGCTGCCTTTGGGATTCCTCCCCAAGCTCTCTGAAGCAAAAAAGCAGCCCCAGGGATGGGAATGAAACGGGCACAATGCCTGGCAGGGAATGTCTCCTGACTGGAGCCTGGCACAGCACCAGAAGTGGGGGCAAAAGTGTGCTGCTGGTCTGAGGGGCATGGGAAAAATCTCCTAGGTTCTGGAGGCTTCACCTCTCAGAGTTTAGGTCCCAGGCCCATATTTGGGGCCGACTCCTGCTTGCCCTCACATTGCCACAGGGGAGGAAAGGAGAGAAAGAAGAACAAAGCCAGTTTCTGGTGCCTTCTCCCAGAAATGCAGCACACTGGGCTCTCCCAAACTGGAGTCGCCCACTGGATGTGTTGGCTCTGGGGACTGTCTGAAAATAAACATCTGAGCCTCAGACTAAGCAAGTCCTTCCTTCCATACTCTCTGTGGCCCATTGTTCCCATCACTTGGTCCACAGAGCTCTCCCAGTTGCATTGAGCTGAATTCCATCACCTGCACACTCCGTTTGGGAATAAAACAAAACTGAAGTTCTGGGGTTCTCTCCCTTTACACCCACTGACCCCATCCCCTCCTTCCCCACTCACTCCATCCCACCACTGACACTGCACTGATTTTTGTTTAATGTGTGAGGCATAAATGCTTTGTCTTGAACTACACCCCCAACTAGAGGAGGCAGAGCTCTGAGAATCACGTTATATAGTTTACACTGGCAGAGTATTATTTTGTCAGTAAAAGTGAAATTTCTGCTGCATTTGGAAAACCTCCACATTGTAAAATGCCAGAAAGAAGAGGCACTATAGGAAGAACACCACACAAACCTGAAATTACAGGAAGACATTTTACTAGTTTGGAAATGACACAAGGACATGAAGTGTGCTAAGTGCAGGCTGTGTGCCTTTTCCAGGGATCACATGCAAAGAACTAAGAAAGACAGGTCTAGAAAGGGCTACAGATGTCTGTCACTTTATCTCCCCCCAACAGAAGGGGGGGACAAATGACCATTTATTCATCCCCCTATGCTTCCTGGAGTATTTTCTACATCTTTGGGTTTTACAAACTTAGGAAAGGAAAATATCAGCTCCTGTAGTTTGAAGATTCTCTCAGGGTTTCATTGACTGATATGGATTAAGACAAAAATATCACATCAAAGCCACGACGCCCCACAGTTGCTGCAGAAGCAAAGACTGTGATCTCCACACCTCAACTGCAGCTTTTAGAGCCTTGGCATTAAAGACAGGGGTAGGAGTGTCGGGGGTAGGATGGTCAGGATGGACGGAGACGAGAGATCTCTGAAGCCAGGTCGTGGAACCTGGGGTTTATTGCAAAGGGTGTGGGTGCAGGGGTCCTGCTGGGAGCTGCCAGCCACAGCTCAGAGCAGACCCAAGAGAGGTAAAGACAGTGGTAAAGAGGATGAGAGAGAGAGAGAGAGAGAGAGAGATAGAGAGAGAGAGAGAGAGAGGATGAGAGGATAAGAGCGTAAGAGAGCGAGGTTCCCCTTACAATACAATAAATCTTCTTCTGTGTTGAATATTCTGATTCTCACCAACCAATCTAGTACAATATACAAATCCTACAGCATTTACGTACAACCCATAAGAATCATTACATTATCATACTGTGTTACATTTTAAACCCTAAAAACTACTCTCTGGACCCCTTCTGCCAAGCTAGTAGGGTCTGCTCTGACCCTTGGACCTGTCTGCAAGCAGAGGGTATTGTTTCATCAAAAGGGGATTACCTTCAGCTGGTCATACCATTGTTTTCCAGTTGATCAGTAACTAAGGTATCTCAAAGCTTGCTTTCATTTCAATCTCGTTTACAATTTCCATATTCTCAAAATCTTTTGCCAGGCAATCATATCTATAAGGCTTCCCTGTTTCATCTTCCCCACCAGACAGCGTTTGTGCTTTTCACATCAGCAACCCTCACCAAACACCTGGTGAGATGGTTCCAAACTCACCTCCCTGTCAAGGCCAGCAGCCACGGTGACGATGTCGCCTGTCTCGCTGTTGATGGTGAACATGTTCTGGGAGGGGCTCTGGGGGGTCTGGGTGACGATCCTGTACCTCACCATCCCGTTGGCCGTGGTGGCGTCGTCCGCGTCGTTCGCCGTCACCGTCATCACGTAGGTCCCTGGAACAAGGCAAGAAGAGTTAGCAGGGCCACCTCAGTGCAGAGCACACTGTGGTCCCACTGACCTGGGGGCATGCATTCTGTTCAGAAATGCTGTGGAATAGGCAGATCACTTCAATCCAGGCAGGCGAGGCGAGGATTATGGAAATAGCAACACTGCTGAGATGGATGATCTGGAGGGATGATGATTACGTGTAACTGGTAGATAGAGAGAAGTTATGTGAGGGTATCTATGATTAACTTCTAATTCTTTCAGTGATTGCAAGTTTTAGGGCAGCATTTTTTGTCCTGCAATTTTCACAGATTCTCACAGGAGATTTTTTTTCCCATCCAATCACTGCATTCACATGCATTCAGAAGCAGAATTTAATAGTGGAAAGCCCATCAGACTTCTCAGCAGCTTCAGAAGGACACGATCAACATGCCCATGCCCAGTGCAGGAAGGAACTGCCTGCAGCTTCCAGTTCTTGGAGAAACTTCCACCTTTCTTTTCCCTCCAGGATTAAAAAATCCATTTCTGCAGAGCAAATACAACAGCTGCTGCCCAGCAGGACAGAAAATCAATTATTTGGTATGTGTGGCCAGTGATGTATTGAATTGTTGGTTTGTTTCTTGCCAATCATCAGTGTCTTCATTTGCCTTGCAAAAAACAAATCCCTACATTCTCGATATGTCGGAGTGCACTGATGCACTGACAGGCTCATTAGCACTGGAGTCTGGCAGCAGGGTGTTCTGCTAAAGTGGGAAATTATCATTAGGAGCGTAAAAGATGTTACTTGATTGGGTGGACTCCTGCAGCTGCATGGTCCTGTGACCCCCCCAGAGCTCACAGGGCCCAGCTTTACACTTGTATTGGTGGGAGGGAATGACTAGAAGGGCAGGCACACACTGCTGACACAAAGCAATCTGCAACAGTGGATGACTATAATGATATGAGACCTGAGAAGAGGAGTGGGAGGCAAAGAGAGACAGCAAAACCAGACATAACCTCGTTTGTGATCACCAGACCCAACAGCATCCATGAAAAGAGGGAAGGTGCCACTCGAACACTGTGCATTTGGGAAGTCTGAGCACAGACCAACTTATGAACCTGCCATGCTGGAGAGGTGCAAATGGTCCCAGCAAGAACCTGAGCTGACTCCAGATGGAGCCACACGTGCTTTACAAGAAGAGCTGAGTTTGCTCTGGTCTCTGGGTTAGATGTGAGCCATGGACAAACCTGAGGACATGTGGCTGCATCAGCACCATGCTGTGTCTCCTCTGGCTCACCCAGCCTGGTCACACTGGGAGCTACCACACTCCCAGTTCAGGAAGACCAGAGAGCTGCAGAGCTTTTATCTATTTGCAAAAGACTTGAAAAACACCACATGCTCTGAATGGCTGCAGCATTTGATACCTTAGCCAAGTGTCTTTAAGCCACTCAGCACGTAGGAAATCCCCCCAGCACCTTTCCCAACTCTGGGAAACCAGTGTTTCTCAGTATTAGCAGAAGTGCAGAAGAAGTTTGTATTTTTGCAGTTGTGTGAAGTGTTTGCTGCTCTTCCATCTGCCTCAATCAGGCTCTTTTTGTTCTCGGTGGTGATACATATATTCCTGTGAGTTTTCTTAGTTCAATAAGAATTATAGATTAAAAAATAAATGAATGTGTAAAGCAAATCTTAATGATGAATACATTCCTGTTTTTCTGCAATAATCCTGATTCACATTTGTGAAATGAAAACAAACTATTCAACAACTTTAACATTCTCCCGATCAATAAACTTCAGAAGACGGAAGGAACACTGAATTGAAACAAGGCTGTGCAAGCAACAAATTTTCTCTATTTTCTCTACAAGCATTCGTTTTTTGCTCTTTTGCAAAACGAGTTATCACGAGACAGCTGATACAAATAATGAAACCAACCCTTAGATAACTACAGGGAAAATGTACAGGAGAAATTTAAATAGGAAATATGCTGAATGAGATGTTTGATTTGGAATTTGTGTTATCTTAATGCATTCAATACTGAAAATATCTCTGAACAGAATGTCAAAACCTGGGGCTAATGAAAACAGAAGCGGAAGGGGAAAACAGAATCTATTTTAGGACATGTGCAGTCTTAGGATGTATTCCAAAAAACAGGTGGTATTTCATGAGGCACTTCTAGCGCAAAAAACCAGCTCTGAAAGTCATTTGGACTTCCAGGTTCAGACAAGGGCACCCCAAAATTGTGGTCCCTCCTCATGTGGGATGTCTCAGACTGTACTGCAGGTTCCAAAATTAACCAGCACATGCATGAAATGGTGGGGGAACCTGCCAGGCTGCAGCTCTGGTGGGAGGGGATGGGAGAGCAGCTGTACTGTGGATGGAGAGCACAGAAGGTCTCCTTCACTCTTTCTCTGACCCTTTTGCTCCTTTCCTGCAGTGTAGGACTGGACTAAGCACATCTGCTCTAGAGAAAAAGGACTATTTCAGCAGTATTTGACCTGCATCTCCAGAAAGGGAGATGGGGCTGGACAAATGTCTCTAAAGCCATGAACTGAGCACCAGGGAGCTGTATTTCAAGAGGCAATCTGCTCCCTATCTCCTATCTTTAATTTCCATTATGAAACCCAACCACAGAGAAAATAAAGAGAGGAACTTGGCATTAATTACTATCTTGTAACTTAATAAAAGGCCCTCTGCAAAGGGCCCTGTGTGGCTGCAGCACACACGGAGCTGCAGCAGCCACTTCCTTCCTGGCTCTCCCTGGGGCTGTCTGTCTGTCTGTCTGTCTGTCTGACCACAGTCTGCTGGCTGCAAATTGCTTCTCCCTCCCCACAGTCTGGACAGTGGCTGGCATCTCCTCTCCCTTTCCTGTGTGCACCTTTCCCAGCTGGCAGTGCTGACCAACAGCATCTCCTGTTCCCCATGCTGAGGGCACCATCCCCAGGAATGGCTCCTGAGGGATCAGCTGGTGTAACCCACCCCCCTGCCATGTTCCACTTGGTTTGCTTTGCATTTAGCCTGTCTTTAAGCAAGATTTACCCTCCAGATACCTGCATGCTGCAGTGAATGACACAAACACAGATCTGTGCACAAGAGTATTCCACAGAGTGATGTGGATATACACAGATAAAGTGTCTGACATCCTCTGGGTGCTGTATAAACTCTTAGTCTGTGCTCAGATGGTTGGTGATGATTTACCTGCAATAAAGTAAGTAATGTCATGCTTCTATGTCCTTTACACGGAGATACATCTTCATGTACTTTGTATTAAAATAAAGGCAATATATCCCTGTATCCAGCCCCTAATACTACACAAATTGGGCAAATATACAGTGGCAGAGAGCACAGCTCTAACACACTCGAGGATTGAAGCTGGTTTTGTTTGGTTTTAAGTGACAAAGTACTGACTGCTTAATCTGGCCCACAGGATGTGTGTCTTTTGTGGAAATCAAAGTATTAACCACACCATATTTACAGCTCCATATCCTACCCAGACAGAGGCTAGGAGCAATTACTACAGACTGAAACACTGAGAAAACTCCTCCAAGTCACACTCAAGACCCTCAATCTGTACTCTGTCAATTTTGCATCAGATCCTGCTGTGGTGAAGAAGCTCCAAGAGCAGGTTAAACAAGTGTAAACAGGGCAAGAGGGACTTTCTGCTTTCAGTGCCTGAGAAAAGCATCACCTTTATTTTTCTGCTCTCCAGAGCTTGCTCTCAAGCACACTGACAACATTAAAGGATTGCATAAAGTGCCCAAACTCAGAAATTTGCCCCAGTCTGTGCAGTGTATCACAGGGTGAATACCCAGTGCAGGTGTAACAGATATATATCTGATATAACTGCATTAAACTACACACCTGGCCTGACTCAGGTATGTCACCTATTGAAAGAAAACCATTTCTCATCAAATAAGGCACATGGTATGTTAAATAAAATACCAAACCTAGTACATCATGTCAATATTAAATCAAATTTGCTGCATGTTGAACAGCTCTTCTGAGCAGCAGATTGAATTACCATGCACAGCTAGTGATGACAAGATTACTGTGCATTAGCCTTCATTAACTAATGTGCAGAGTTCATATATCACCTGAGTTAAAATTAATGGATGGCATGACAAAGGAGATCTATCAATGAAAGGCAAGACCTCCAGAATCTGTAACTTCCCAATGCATTCCCTTTGATTTCCCAGAGACTGTTACCTCCCAGATGTTATTTTGTCAAATGAGATGGTTTTGTTTCTAACCATGGATAAGACACATGAGAGAAATGCTTGAAAGCAAACCTTATGGAAAATATTCCCATTGGATTAATTAAAGTTTCTACAGGATAGGCAAAAAAAATGCCTTACAGAACCTGGGGGAATGGAAGCAAAGGGAGATAATTTATACCTGTACATTCAGTTTTGTTTGTCAATTTTAAAATGAATTGCATCTCCTTGCAAAAGACTGCAAAGAGATTTTGCTAGATTCACCATACCTCATCCCATCTGTACACACTAAGGAAAAAGTAAAGCAGAACAAGAGAGAGAGCTGCCCTGAGCATGTGTAAGCAGATAAGCACAGTCATAAACAAATGTCCCCCTCAAATCACTCTGGAATCTGAGAATCAGCCCAGTTCTTTGTAGCTCAGACAATCCCAAAGCATGCTGAGGGCTGCTAATTCCCCTCACGTTGTCTGCAGTCTCTGCTCTCCCATCTATGCAACTTCATTTCTCCATAAAGATGGAGCTTTCAGGAGTTTAAGGCACACAAAAAATATTTTGGCACAGTTGTGCTCCTGAAGTCTTTCTTACAATTGCTTTATAATTGCCATTTTTCTAAGCTGGTTTGATATCCATTAGTTAGATTTAATGCATGTTAAAATAAAGAGCTAATGGGCACTTACCAGGAAGCCAACAAAATATAAAAATCAAAACTCTTTCACTTTGCCCTTTATCCCACATGTCACTGCAAAACCACATAATCCTCTCAGTCTTTTCCTATGATATTGTCGAGGTTTGGGGCAAATTTGGAGGAGAATCTCCAAA